CAGTGTTATATTGTTTATGTCCCAGTGTTATAAGATCACTGTTATATTGTTTATGTCCCACTGTTATATTGTTTATGTCCCAGTGTTACAGGATCACTGTTATATTGTTTATATCCCAGTGTTATAGGTACACTGTTATATTGTTTATGTCCCAGTGTTATAGGATCACTGTTATATTGTTTATGTCTCAGTGTTATAGGATCACTGTTATATTGTTTATATCCCAGTGTTATAGGTTCACTGTTATATTGTTTATGTCTCAGTGTTATAGGATCACTGTTATATTGTTTATATCCCAATGTTATATTGTTTATGTCCCACTGTTATATTGTTTATGTCCCACTGTTATATTGTTTATGTCCCAGTGTTATAGGATCACTGTTATATTGTTTATGTCCCAGTGTTATAGGATCACTGTCATATTGTTTATGTCCCAGTGTTATATTGTTTATGTCCCAGTGTTATAGGATCACTGTTATATTGTTTATGTCCCAGTGTTATAGGATCACTGTTATATTGTTTATGTCCCAGGGTTATAGGTTCACTGTTATATTGTTTATGTCTCAGTGTTATAGGATCACTGTTATATTGTTTATATCCCAATGTTATATTATTTATGTCCCACTGTTATATTGTTGATGTCCCACTGTTATATTGTTTATGTCCCAGTGTTATAGGATCACTGTTATATTGTTTATGTCCCAGTGTTATAGGATCACTGTCATATTGTTTATGTCCCAGTGTTATATTGTTTATGTCCCAGTGTTATATTGTTTATGTCCCAGTGTTATATTGTTTATGTCCCAGTGTTATAGGATCACTGTTATATTGTTTATGTCCCAGTGTTATAGGTTTACTGTTATATTGTTTATGTCTCAGTGTTATAGGATCACTGTTATATTGTTTATATCCCAATGTTATATTGTTTATGTCCCACTGTTATATTGTTTATGTCCCACTGTTATATTGTTTATGTCCCAGTGTTATAGGATCACTGTTATATTGTTTATGTCCCAGTGTTATAGGATCACTGTCATATTGTTTATGTCCCAGTGTTATATTGTTTATGTCCCAGTGTTATATTGTTTATGTCCCAGTGTTGTTTATGGGCAAATGTTATATTGTTATCTATCGATGTACACTTGTCCAAAATTGAAAAAAAAAAATCACAACTTCACCCGATGAAGATCGAGCTTTCTGCAATAGGAAAGAAAACGAGACATCACACGTAGGAACACAAATGCTATGTCAACGATGTTGTCTTTCTAAAAATAAACACAGAACATTATGGACCATTGTAAGTGATACTACTATGTTTCCTGGTCGTAGAAAGAGCTTAATAGCATACTGAAAATGTCAACAGCAATTTTTGTCGTGGAAAGGTACACAAATGAAATACAACACACGACTTAACATTCCAGGATCAAAGAATTTTTATTCCTCCTTTCATTATAGGTTTTCTCCTCTGCTATGCTAACTTTTCGAAGCACAAAGATTTGATTAAAACCTGAACGTTGATAAATAAACGGCGACCCCTCAGAACAGAGCGACAGTAAAGTTTCAATTACTCTCCCGTATTGGCTACCAGGATTCCATACAACAAAACTTTGCACCGACTCGTTAAACTTCAAATGGCTAAAATTGTGCTGCTATCGTACTTTGAAAGCAGGTCTCGTGGGAACAGCGAGGAAGGTTTTACTGTAATGACATACGACGTGTACTTCCTTTGAGCTTACTTACATGCTCGTTCTCTCCTGTGTCAAGTTAAGGAAATTTGAAAACTTCAAATAAAAAAAATAATTACATTACGGATATTTTTTCATGATTCAATTTCAATCTGCGTCTATAAAACCTATCTCGATCCATCATTCTTTGGCCCCTTTTTAAGAACTGCCAATACCATTGATGTTTGTTTTGCATTTCCCGTCCAATCACTACGGATTTTCTGTTCACTGTTAGCATTATTCTAAGAATCATGTATCAACCTGCTTTGAAATTGAATTACATGAAAAATGATTTTGTGCAGCTGCCTTTGGCGTTCAGTTCACACATCATAATGTAATTGACGCACAAAAGAGAAGAGATCAATCGTCATAATCAACGCTGCGGGCAAATCCCAGCAAGATAACGCGCTGGAAATAGAAATGAAATCATGATGAAGGAACGGCGCAATGTTTTCACTAAATGAAATATATTTTGAATATTTATTGAATTTCAACAGTTGCTTTTTGGGTTTCAGAGGGGTACGTTGTCAAGCTTGTGTGACCAATTACAAAATCATATTAACAAATCAATTTATTTCTACTTATAAACAAGCTTCTTAACGGACAAGAATTTGAAGGAATACACGCCAACAGCTATTTTACACGAGATGAAGAAAGAGAGGAAGAAAAATGACAAATCACGTAGTTTTTATTCGGGTATAACGTCCTCGTTTGAAGGTCATACGGGAAAATAAATAAGTAAGAATGCCGCGACCTTACACAGTATGTCATAAACATTACTCTTGTTTATAGGGTCTTTATTGGTGGTAGGGAGGAGGTGAACGGGTAATCATATTCTCAACGGAAATTTGTATCGAAAGGTGCGATTCACTTGTGAGTCTTTTCTACAATCGTGGAGACGGGAATAGAGGCCAGAAAAAGTCGTTTTTATACATCAGTGCATAGCTCTAAGGAAAATGAAGATGAAAAGACTTTAAATCATTTGCTTTGTACTGATAAACGAAAACACATAGCTGTTTGGTCACCAACGTCCACTGGAGAAAAGCGAGCAATATCTGCTGGTTTACAAGTAGAAGTGGTAAATAACAAAACAGTTATGTGTCGCTGTCAACGAAACTATAGACAGACTTTTCTGTTGTCAAATTACATATATGCACTGAAGGAAAAAGCTGGATAGAAAACTCGGCAAAAGACATTAACTACAGCTTAAATACAAAAACGTATATATAAATATAGCAAATACACGGATGATGACAAGATTCAAAAGCGGTTGTGAATTTGTATTATTTCTTTCTTAAGATTTGGACACAAGGAATAATCTAAAACATTCCAAGAAAATATCCCCCAAACACTGTGAGCTTGATGTCTGTAAATAAATCTTTATGGGGCTACGGTCATGGTTGGGAGTAGTACCAAGTTTCACAGCGGTAGGATTGTACAGCAAGACATCTCCGCTGCAGTTCTTACTTTCGTAAGTGGTGGAAGAATTTAAGGTGTCCAAGTTTAGACTGAAAGATGTTTTAGACATCAAGAACACCTAAATTGGTTAACTAGCTACGTATGCACAGTCATCAAAGCGTAGTGTACACTGGGGCTGCAGGACAAAGTATACGTAAGATAGTCTGTGTTGGTAGACGAGTCAATCACCTTCGGTTATGGAGAAGAGCAGAAGGCAAGAATGGAGAATTGTATTAGTGAATATAGTGCCAATAGTGCTTGAATGTATTAGCAGACGTTGCTAATACCTGTGGTTGTGCAAGGACAACTGGGATCGTGGGCTTAGTGGAATCGTCCAGAGTACAACATCACATGAACTGACCAGTGGAAGTTTGAACCAGCTAAAATCTCCTTCATGCGCCAGCCTGTATATGACACATTGACATCACAAAGTTACTTGTGTATGTGATTCCGTTTGTACCCTGTGCGGTAGAAGAGGACTTCATGCGATGGCCTGTATATGACACACTGTCATCACAAAGTTACTTGTGTAGGTAATTCCGTTTGCGCCCTGTGCGGTAGAAGAGCAACACTAACGCACATAGAGACGGCAGTAAAGGCCAGGAACGGAACACCAGAAGTCCTCTCTCATACAACGAACGCCTGGTCTTTCCGGAAGTTCTGGATACTCCACTAAAACCAGACCTCGTGATAAGGTTGTAACAGCGTCAGAAAACCATATGATCGAGCTTCCAAGCATCAACAGCACTGTAGACAGAAGGAATGTAGAACATCCTATACAGTAGAGGTTGGTGTCAGAAGATTCCGGCACATTTCGTGGGTAGGCTGTCGCGGAGACTGGGACTGACAGACGCGAAAAAAACGGAAGCTACCAGCATTAGGCCCTATAGCCGAAACAAATTATTTCAACTCATACTAATCAATCTTGGCGCGGCTGTAACCGCAAGGGGTGAAAAGTGGTGAAAAGATAGATTCTGTCATTCACCCTGATCACCAATCTGTTAAAATGGTTTAGATAAAAAGCTATAAACGAAATGGTCACATTTAAGTGTCTCTTTACCGGTTCTTGTGGGATCATTGTTCTACCTCAGTAAACAAGGCAATATGTCGTATTGAAAACTGAAAACAAATGAATATACAAAAGATGCCGGAGGGATCTTGGCGCCCGCCATTGTTTGATCTTTATATGTCAAATCCAAAATGGCTGAATTGAAACCATTTTGTTTCTTCTGATCAGTCCCAAAATCAAACGGGCACAAAGAGAGACCAAATGGAACATACGTATGAAATTTTCGAGATATCCATTCAGTACTTAAGAAATAGCAATAACAATCTTTACTAGGCAAAATCCAAGATGGCTGCCTGTTGGTCATTTGTTTTCCTCGTCGGACCTAAACTCAAGTAGGCACAACTAGGGACCAAGGGGAACCTCCATATGAAATTTAAGAAAGATCCATCCAGTACTTCTCAAGAAATCGCGATAACAAACTTTCAAACTCAAAATCCAAGATGGCTGTTTCTCGGCCATTTCGCTTTTCTGGTCAGACTAAAAATTAAATGGGCACAACAAGGACCAAGGGAAACCTCCATATGAAATTTAAGAAACATCCATCCAGTCCTTCTCAAGAAATAGCGATAACAAATATTTACAGACGGATGGACGGCGGATCAAGGACGCAGAGCGATTTGAATAGATCTGATGAAGGTGGGCTAAGAAGATTAAATGAGCTACTGTTCCTTGATAAAATCATGAGGTAGTATTACACTTCTTCAGTGTTTAAATCACAAACGTGATGAAGATAAATAACAACAACAGAAACAGATAAACAACAAAGTTGTAAACAATTTATTTCATTTGAAATATTTTTGTTTACAATCAATTCATGATTATAATTGCTGTTCAGTTAGAAAAGATTCCTGTGTTTTTCCCCCTGGACTTTAATGGTACTCAAAGTTTAACATACTAAGTATAATTTTGGGACATTAACTTTGCTGTTATAATACCAAACAGAAAATTGAACTGTTGTAATCTACCTGATATCCTTGAATCTACAGAGCTTAAATAAGACAATTTTACTGTCATATTTATGTAATTCTATCTAATCTGGAAACAATCAGTCCTTCCCCATCCACAGAAATCACCTTAAACTATACAATAAGTAAAAGTGTATATTGTTTCTATAACTATATAATTGCTGCTATACATCACTCATCAAATATACAAAATAAATAGTTAAATATTCACAAATTATACATAAATACTTGTCAAAAACATTACAGGTTTCTCACTGTAACTCTGCAGTGTGTGTACATTATACATCTCTTTTGGTAGCAATTCTTCAGCTACCTCAAGTCAAAACAGGTAGCAATTCTTCAGCTTACTCAAGTCAAAACGGGTAGCAATTCTTCAGCTCACTCAAGTCAAAACAGGTAGCAATTCTTCAGCTTACTCAAATCAAAATACAGGTAGCAATTCTTTAGCTATCTCAAATCAAAATACAGGTAGCAATTCTTTAGCTATCTCAAACCAAAATACAGGTAGCAATTATTTAGCTAACTCAAACCAAAATACAGGTAGCAATTATTTAGCTAACTCAAACCAAAATACAGGTAGCAATTCTTTAGCTATCTCAAACCAAAATACAGGTAGCAATTATTTAGCTATCTCAAACCAAAATACAGGTAGCAATTATTTAGCTAACTCAAACCAAAATACAGGTAGCAATTATTTAGCTAACTCAAACCAAAATACAGGTAGCAATTCTTTAGCTATCTCAAACCAAAATACAGGTAGCAATTATTTAGCTAACTCAAACCAAAATACAGGTAGCAATTATTTAGCTAACTCAAACCAAAATACAGGTAGCAATTATTTAGCTAACTCAAACCAAAATACAGGTAGCAATTATTTAGCTATCTCAAACCAAAATACAGGTAGCAATTATTTAGCTAACTCAATACAAATACAGAAACCATTTATTAATATCAATATAAATTTCATATTTTTTTCACTTTTCTGAATTTTGCTATATGTTAAATTCAAATGAAGAAGCTTATATGAAAACAAAGTTCATTTTATTTCATGCTATAAACCTGTATGTATGGAAACAAAGAAGTATGAAACCATTTATTTAAATTAATTAACAACAGATATTTCAAGCTGTGACTTTTGGAAAGTTTGAATCTCACTTTTGATCACAGTATCAAGTTCAATAGATGTGTGTTCCTTCATAATTCATCAAATGACATAAATACACACAGAACATCCAAACACATTTTTTATCACAATATTTTATCACATTCCAAATATCAAATTGACACCTCTTCTTCATAATCATCTTCATAGTCCTCGTAATCATCATCATCTTCATCATCATCCTCTTCTGAATCCTCATCTCTGTTACTGATTTTCTTCATACTATCATCATCTACCTGTTTGATATGTGTCTCATCATCTGTGGCAGGAAGTGAGAAATGTACTGGCTGATCCTTAAACACCACCATAGTAGCACTGTCCTTGGAGGCAGGGCTAGGCAGGGTGGGGGCTGGTGAGATAGGTGGACTATCCCCTGTCTCCTTAGGTACCAGAAACTCAGATTTACATACATTAGTAACAATAGCTTCATTCAAGTCCTCAAGTTCCAAAGCAATGTCAGCCAAACACTCATCCAGAATGTGGTCAGCAACCCTGTGACAAGTAAATGGAAAACGAAACTAGAAATATATTGTGGCAACTTTTACTCTTTACTCGTTATTAAAAAGAGAAAGAATAGATCAACATTATCCGACTGTAAACAAAGTACTACTTCACATATGATAGTTGTGATGTTAGTTTTCAATCCTATGGATAACAGGACATTATGCCAGTGACTTATGTCTTAAATATAAGTGCTGGAGTTTTCAAGTATGCACCAATTGTTTCAGCAACAAAATGAAACAAGTTTAAGTTTTTTATAAACTGATTACAGTTACAGGGATGTGATGAATATCGTACCAATCTACTACCAATTCAATTCACCCAATATCTACCCAACTTATCGTGAAGTATCCTCAATATCACTGACTGGATTTCCAAAATTAAAACAAAACAAAATAAAAAAATAAATATTTGAAATGAAAAGAAAAAGATTGAAATGAAATTGTGTAAACCTACTCCTCCATGAGTCTCCATGGGTCAAACTTTCCAACACGCTGGTGAGACGTCTTCTTCAGATACCTATCATAAGCCTCTACACCAGACATGATTTTATCCCGAACACTCTTCGATATAGAGACTTGTATTTCTGGTCGACTCCTAATTTCATAAGCTGAATCTTTCAGAGGACCATCATCAAAACCTGTTTGAAATCCAGTCTTGAATTCAGTGAATTTCACTTCAGATTTCATTTTTGTAAATATGATTGGCTCATCATCCATGCTCTTTGTGAATTCCCTGAAATTTGTTGAAGTTTTTAATTCATGCAAACAATGAACAGGCTTCCTGACAGAGAACAGAAAATGTGTTTTATATATATATATATATCAATAAAGTGTTTCTATGTTGTGTCATTGGAAGTCTTGTATTTGAGAGAAAAAAAAGCATGGTTGAATATTTGTTTTTATAAGATCAATACACAGCTGAACTTGCTAGTAAACTATATGTTAGTGTTGAAGAGACATTGATTCCATCGCAATCTGCTCTACTTAAATGTGTGGGTATTTCCTGGCAGCATTTGGAATTATAACTCCTTGCCGACATATTTCTTATCCTAGATTGTAAGCAGGGTTATGATTGACCTATGTTACGTTTCTTTATAAAGTAGACATATTAGTAAAGTTTCCACTTGCTTTGTTTTGAGTGGCTTGATCAATGTTACCTGTACGTGTACATTTTTAGATCAATATTGATGATGTTTTCACTTGCTTTGTGTTTTGAGTGGCTTGATCAATGTTACTTGTACGTGTACATTTTTAGGTCGACATATTGATGATGTTTTCACTTGCCTTGTTTTTTGAGTGGCTTGATCAATGTTACCTGTACGTGTACATTTTTAGGTCGACATATTGATGATGTTTTCACTTGCCTTGTATTTTGAGTGGCTTGTTCAATGTTACTTGTACATGTAGATTTTTAGGTCGACATATTGATGATGTTGTCACTTGCATATGTTTTTGGGATTGCTTGATCAATTTTACCTGTGCATATTTTTCTGGATAGCTCTCGGAGGTACAGTGTGTCTAGTGATCTCCATAGCAGCTGGTGCCAGCGGACGACCTAAATCTAAAAAACAAATGGTACATGTGTATTGGAAACATGAAATACAGATTAAACTAAAATGACCTGACATGGCCTCTAGCAATCACCTTGGAATATATTTTGCACAATCAAATACATCTGGATCACAAAAACAAAGATGAATTTCCAAGTTTCAATGTCAATAAATGGTGAAAGCAATAATTTCATACAAATGTATCATTGAATATTTCTTTTTTAACAAAATACAGGAAAATGATTGACCTTTTACACTTGGTTTGTTTATTGGCTCTGTCTCTGAAAATTGTACTGTTGCCCATCTCCGTCTTATGTTGTGTCGTTCCTCCTGCAAAAGTTTGAACAAGTTTGAACTTCAATAATCTTATTCTTGATAATAATTTTCTTATGTGCTAATTAGAATTTTTAACGGGGGAGGGGGGAGAGGGGGCGGGAAAAGGGGGAGAGAATTATCATTCATTTCTAGGTATGCCCATAGGTTCAGTGTATAAAGCACATACCTAAGGGTGATGTGGTTTACCTACACTTAACACTACAATCAAAGCCTCTTATTACAATTGCAATGAAAGGTGCAAACTATTAAGTCCTTCTGGTCAGACCATACCGCAGGCAATAAAATAGTAAGATAAACAATTGTAACCAGGTACATCAATAACAGTAAATAGCCACTAATTGAGGAGATCTTTTTGTTTAAGTTTTGTGGTGTACACATGCGATGTACATGTCTACTTTTTTCATCATTTTCAAAACTTGTGCTGGCTTGTGACCATACTTCAAATTCAAAACTGATATTTCATGTGAAACTTAACAAATGTGTATAAATCACTAGTATTTTTGATGTAAGGATAGGATACTAGATCATTATCCCTGAGGAAAGAATTCTTTTCTCAATCTTATACATTAAGTTATCAATCTCATCCAAAACAAGAAACATAATATGTCTGGTATTTTAGATATCACAGCCCCACCCCTTCCACCACCCCCTCCCCCAGTAAAGAATATCTCCATAGGAAAACAAAGCATCACAGATACAATCAATGACTGACCTCCATCTGCTCCAGTTTATACATGAGGTTCTCTAAGGTAGGGCGGTCCTGCAGGGCAGCAGCCTTCTTCTCTGCCCGTTCCTGTCGCTCCAGGGCCTGAAACTCCTCTGCTGTGTCTGTGATTACATCTTGGAGTATCATCTCAGTCAACACGTCTCTTCTCTCTTTAGGCTGTCAAAATTAATCTCAAATTAATACATAGCAGAGGTTCAATTAAAATCATATCAGAAATTGTTTCTACATAAGAAGAAATCACACTCTTTAAGTTCTAATCACACTCTTTAAGTTCTAAACGAACAGACATCCCCCTTTGAATACTTCTGATAGATCCCAAAACATATCTATTTTAAGTTTTCATTGCAACAAATAAATGCACATTTTCATATCTGACAGATAATGTTTTCAAAGACATAGTATGTGTGAAGAATTTATCAATTGAGAAGGAAAACTCACATTGGTGATCTCATCTGCAAGTCCCTGTCTGTAGGTGGGATCAGACGCAGCCAACATTTGTTCCTGACGACAAGCTATCTCCTACAATGCATTATGCAAAATCTTCTCAATGTGACTACAAATGGAAAGCTGAACATGATTACCACAGTTTTGAACTCAATATAAACAGTATTACACAAATATAAACCACCCATAAGAATTAATCATCCAAGTTTACAACATCATCCATGCTATCCTGAAATAAGTCCTGCAAACCATACAAATTATCTGTGACTAGAAGATGAATATGGACTTGTCATTTACAATTTAATACCACTTGGTAGTAATTCTCAGAAAAATATTGTTTTTTTTACAACAGGCATGGGTCATTGCTGGAAATATACCTACTGAATTTTGGAGACTGGAGTGTGAAGGTCAACCAGGGTTCATTAAAACCGATGACCTAATGACCTCACATACTGACACTCCTCTGAGTTTTTGAAGAAAACTGTAATATTAACAAAAACAAACATGTCCTGCCTTATATTTTAATGATTACCTCTGCCTGGTCCAGTAGAGGCTGTAATCTCCTCTGGATGGCTCTCTCTGCATTATCAACCAGTCTCTCTGTTGGACTTTGTGATCGTGCTTGCCTGTAGTACACAGTTCACAAATGTACAACAATTAACACACCTTCAAAACCTTCAAATCCCTAATTCACATGTTACAGTAAGTTATGAAAAATACTTACACTTTGAACTTTGAATTTTTGTTTTGCCTTTTAAAAATTTGACCAACGGATAGCTGGTCAATTAGACATCACTTGGTTTGTTAGAAAATATCATTTAACACTTGGTGTTTTGGAGTTAATTCCCTTTAAAATAAGAAATTCATTGAGTGGCTGCACACAGAAAATCTCTAAGAGTTCCCCTAAAGTGTAAATTATGAGAACAAGATACAATATCTTACCTTCCTCTTCGTGAAGTGGCAGAATACAGTGGCCTTCCTCTAACTGGTGTTTTTTTCTGAAAAATCAAAAAATAAAACAAACTACGATCCAGATTTATGTTTACTATTTCAGTTTCTAATACAATTACAGGACATTTATTCAGCAGTATCCTGCTAGCCAGAACATGTACCAAAGATTTCACTAGATTCTGAAATGTTTATGAAGAAGAGACTTTAAAAAGATCCTGTCTAGTACTATATTTACAATCAGATCCTCCTTACAGAATGAGATGTTACCACATCTAATTTATTATAAAAGTCCTAACAAACCTTTTCTGTGTGGTCCATTTCATCAGGAAATAAGGTTCTGAAACAGAGAAATCAAAACTTTAAACCTAAAGAGTTGTCTTAGTAACTCGATAACCACAAGAACAGCTATATCTGGCTGCCATTTATAAACATCAATGTTTTAGGTTTTTTACATTATTGTAATGACCCACTTACTTGACTAAGTCTCCGTCCAGCATGTCTTTGATGAGGTGACATCTCTGTAGGGCTGGACTCTGTGATCGGGTCCTTCTACGTCCTTTAGACGGGGTTCGTCCGGTGCCTGCTGGTCGCCACGGTTCCCGCTGTTGTCCAGGGCTAACAGATCTCCATCTCCTTTATTCAGATAAGTCTAATTTCATTACCACTATCTCTGATCTCCTTCTCATTTAGTCAGATAAGTCTAATTTCATTACCACTATCTCTGATCTCCTTTTCCTTTAGTCAGATAAGTCTAATTTCATTACCACTATCTCTGATCTCCTTTTCCTTTAGTCAGATAAGTCTAATTTCATTACCACTATCTCTGATCTCCTTCTCCTTTAGTCAGATAAGTCTAATTTCATTACCACTATCTCTGATCTCCTTCTCATTTAGTCAGATACATGCACTTATCCTAAAAGTATTCATGGCTTGTCTGTAAGAGGGGAGGTAACTGTGTCATGTTAAACATAAAAGTGATAAATACATTTTATATGTTGTTATGATTCTTGTCCATAGAGTGAGGTTGGGGCAGAAATGGATCATTCCATTGTACCTAGAGGGTGTGGATAGGGCAGAAATGGATCATTCCAATGTACCCAGAGGGTGTAGGTGGGACACAGAAGGATTGTTACACTAATCAAGAGAGTGGTTTGGGTAAGGCAGAAATGGATCATTCCAATTTACACAAAGGGTGTAGGTGGGACTTAGAAGGACCATTATACTTACCCAGAGGGTGTGGGTGGGGCAGAGAAGGATCGTTCCATGACGAGGTTACGTTGAGGGGTCACAGATTTGAGATTGGAGGACACAGTAGGATCTGCAAAGTGACAGTCAGGATTAACTTGGATAGTAGCCCTCTGGGCACGGGCTCTCTTCTCCTGGAAATAAGGATGATACAAAGAGTATTTACAGGAGGCAAAATATTGATCGGTGCTTTGATTTCATTTACTGTAAACAATGTTTTTGATTCCAACACCCAATTCAAATTATAGACAAAGTAGACACAGAAATGACAGGTATTCTGTTAAAAGTAGTCTGCAACCTTAACTTGTATCACATACATGTATAGTGTGTATAGTACATAACAAAATTGTAGTTTCTTAGTAGCTCTTTCCCATTAAAAAAAATGTAACATCTTTTTTCACCTAACCATGGTTGTCTTATAAGTAGTAAAATTCTTGTCGAGAGACTTGAGACAAGTAATAGAGTTCAGTATTGGAATGGTGTGTACCTGTAGTTTGGCTGGGAGAATTAAACTTTTCCCTGCTGCCTGTGATGGATGATGTCCTGATACTTCCCAAGCCATACCTGCTCTACCTTTCTTTAGTTCTCCAGCCTCCACCAAGGCGGCGATGCCAGCTCTCATCGCAGCTCTTCTATCTGGTGTGCCATCCATAGCAACTAGAGAATGTATTGTTGGAAAAAATTTAAATTCAACATTTCCTGTTTTCTATAACTATCTGTAATTAAGCACATGACTACTCAGTAAACTTTCCAAATGATTCTAACAACACCTTTTTACCTAAGCAATACGCTGTAAAACAGTATGATTTTTATTTGTAACTACAACAGAAATGTTTCTTGTAATGTATTCATTTATTTTGACAACGTGATGTTTGTAGATTGAATCTTCAGTTGATGTGTGTTTAAAACAAAAACAAAAAAAACCAGAGACTCATAAAGATATAACACCATCCTCCCACAAACAGACCTTTTTTATATCAAGATATCTTGTAAACAAGCTTTTTATTTCAAAAATTGTCAGGTACATCTTTGGACCGTTTCATGAGATATGATTTATACAAGCTTCATTATGAAAGTGATAAAGTGTGACCTTTCACCTTTAACCTTGACTGATGGCCACCAAAATCTAATCAGGTATAACTTGACAGTGTGATGTTATGTGAACATGAGCTAAATGTGGTTCATGAGATCCCATGTATACAATACTTTGGGTATATGTACGCAAAGTGACTACATTATACTATACAAATCATCCCCATTATTATACACGCTTCAAACATACCATCTACATTAAATCTTATTTTAGATATCCTGCTCAAAATTAGCCTTTCATTTCTAAAAACTCAAACAGATATGGGTAGAGCAGAACAGTAAAACTTACCCTGTCTTGGCTTTTCTACTTTCCTAGAACCTGCTGTAGATGGTTTCATGATCCCTGAATATAAATAAAAGATCACAAAAGAACACAAGTTATTCTCCTGATTGTTCTTGTCATAGTAAATCTGTAGCAATGGCATCGAAAAAGAAACAGGAAATATTAGTACAATGTAGCTACATCCACATCATTTATTTCTTCATAATCATTACAACACAGACAAGCATCAACAGAAACCAACCAAGCATTAAAATATTGTATTCTTCTAAACAATTTAAAATTGGTCAACATGATACAGACAAGTAAATTGGCAGATCCTGACATTATGTAAGATATTGCTGACGTGTTCACTCCCTCAAACTCAAAGCTTCAAATCTAGGAACATCAATATCAGTTTTTAGGATCATAACTATGTCTCTGATGTGTAGCATCTATTTTCAAAAATTTCTTCTGGAAAGATACAGTTCAGACTAAAGACGTTCAACTTATGTTATAAATTACAATACCTTTCGCTGGTCTATTTTCCTTGCCTGTATTCTTCCTCTGTACTTGGCGACCCCTCTGTTGAGGCTGCTGACGAGTGGGAGGTACCTGCGGAGGATCCCGTGTCTTTGTAATCACAGGTTTTGCGATTTCTTTCTCTGGTAAATCTCTGCACCATGCTTTGTTCAGGTCCTGATTTTTAAAATTTCTATGCTTAGAAAAATGTATTTCACAAATCACTATCTATCAATGTCTCTATTTAAAATCCTATTCAAAATAATTAAATTCTTTCAGAAGATAAAAACATGCTGTCATTGAGTTTTTAACCCAGAAATACTTTTGTGTTTACATATGTACAAGAACTTATCATGGTACCATTGTCTTTGTTATAGAGAAGTTAAATAAACCATAATTATAACAGAACAGGAATACTCTTACATCAACTTTGTCCAACATCTTTAGTAGATCAGTCTGGACAGTGGATTTTTCTGAGGACACCTGGCTGCTGAGGAGAGTCATCTGACGGATGAGGAGGGCCAACTCATGGTAGGTAGAAGGAAGTCCCCCACTTAAATCTGTATGGGGTAGGTTAGCAACGAAAGACTGGATCGCTCTCACAGCACCACGGTGAGCTGCTGCTAGTCGAGCAGAGCTTCGACTCTACAGTGAAAATAAAACATATGTTAATCTCAGTCCAAAAAGTAAGTTATACAGTGCAAATACAGGCCAAGTAGTCATATTTATGTTGTGGATATTTAACAAGAATAGATGTCCCAATTAATGCTGGGGACAAAGAGCTATTATATTCTATGTACAATCCATGTATCACTGATAATGTCACACCTTCTTTGTGTGTTTCACTTTCTCCGGTCCAAGGCGGATGAACTCATTCTGCATCTCGCGGACTTGGTGTCGTAACACATAGAGCTGGCGTGATGTGCGTGTAGCCAACTCCTCCATGCGGACATGCTTTCTGTCTGTTCCCTCTTCCACTTCTAGATATCCAGCCTTCTGGCGAGGTTTAGAGGATGGTTGTAAAAAAGATGTGTTTTGATCTGGAGTAAAATAATAAACAGTAAAACAAGTGATTTTCTCTATATTTTCTTTACATTCATTGTCTGTAACTGTTTTATCCTTATCTATAAAAGTCCTGTATATTACATAGTTATCAAATGCTTCAACACATTCATTGTGTAATGACAATAATATGGTAAGAGCATTATATCCAAACAAATTATATTGTGATTTCTATCCATTAGATTTTTGTCACAGAAATGTAGAGAAATATCTCATTGATAAAAGTGTAATAGTGTCTCCAGATATAACTGTGCCCTCGTCAAATAAACTTAAATGTTAGACCCGCCTGTGAAATCTATTTGTATTTACTGAAGACACTATTAGATATCCCCTCTATCTCCATGTCCTAATATATCACTGCTATTTCTGAGTATGAGTCACTAATGAAGTACCCAAGGGTGAAAAAACATTACCATTCATTGCCCGCTGTTCAATTATCTGTATTTGCTGTAAATAACCCTCCATCTCATGCTGAAGTCTCTCTATTTCCTTGTCTGGTTGGGTCGAGGGAGCTGTGCGTGTGACTGGATAGATTTTAAAATCTGTATCTCTTGATGGCGGTGACTGTGACGATACTGATAAAAAAATCAAACAAGGAAATATGTAGTTTTTTCTAAATTGAAAATACATAAATTTTATTTCTAAAAATAAAAAATGTCCAAAATTTTGCGTATATTTGCAATGTTTACAATCCTATATGTATATTAAACTTTGTATCCTTGATCAAAATGTGTTCCAACAATAGAGTGCATTTGTGACTATATACATTGGTAAAAAATTTAAAGCCACATATACAAGTAATTGTAATACCATTTACAAAGAAATTCTTTTCTATATATCTCTACATATACATGTAACTACCTGGCATTGACAGATCAGGCACACGTCCTCCTCCAGGCCGAGACAATCTTGGAGGTGTTTGTGTTTTGGCATTCTTCGGACTACGGTTCCTATCATGTTCTTTAATCTTTAAATTTGTTTTGGTTTTCACTGGTTGGCGACGCATCCTGTCTCTCGATGCTCGATCTCTTATCACTTTTGTTTTTCCGAAAGTTTTTGGAGATGGAGATCGCGATCTTGTTCTAGTTTTTCCAAGTTGCTTCTTCATATTTTCTTCTTCCTTTTTCTTACGTATATCCCTCTGGGCGAGCCTCATAGCTATTGACATTCTGTCTTCAGACATGGATGACATGTTTAGGCCTCCTGAAATGTCCCCTTGTGGTTGGCCATGAATACTAGCATGACCTGCAGGGAAGATAACTCCTGGAGGCCCTCCTCCTTTATCTATTACTATGGGGTTTGGCCGATGGAATTTGAAGGCAAGGTTCTGTACATTACTGGGAACATCAAGATTGAACTGCAATTGATTCTGTATAGGATAGAATGCCATATCTGAAAGGAAAACAAATTCAATCTGTAGTTAATTATTTTCATTTAAACCATACTTAATTTAAATAAATAAAACACTGACTAATCAATGAAAGTATGTGTTTGCAGAGAAATGTGATACAATGTTTTAATAATTTTAGTTCTTCAACATTGCAGTTTAAAGTGTCTTTTTTTAAATAGCCAAGATTTTCTACATATGTACAATTAAAATAAATAAAATTTCAGATCAGCAAATACATTCAGATAAATCAAAGGACACATTTTAATATAAAGAATAACATGAATCAAAACCTATACTTAATTAACACTATATAGATATATTTATCCTGAAACCAACACTGATATTGTCAGAACATACATGCCACACATGGTTTGCTGTTTTCTGCAGTGATAGAAATCAGCTGTATTTGACATGTGCATTAAATCAACAAAATAACTTTCTCAGCCAGAGTTTACTTAAATAATGCAAGTGCAAAAGGCTTTGTCAATGGATATAGTGTTAAATACTGTCACTGTCACTCAGCTGATTGAATGCTTCTTTAGCCGAGTTGGTAGAGATTATTACACTGGAGACCTTGGTTCAATACCTGGTCATGGCACTTGACAGAAGTGTGTATTTTAGGTGTTCTTTCACATTAGTGCCAGCGGCATCGCCAAGGCTGTGGTATTTGGAGTCTAGGGTTCAGATTTAGCAAATCTCAACCAAATCAGAGGAAGAAGCATAAAAGGAGCAAGTCAATGTGGCTGGTGCATACTGTAAATACAATCTCTGTCATCCAGCTAATGGAACTCAGTAGTTGGTTGAGTCAGTCAGTAATCATACCCCAGAATCAGGTTTATTCATTGTCATCGCACTCAATACTTGAACAGCATTGAGTATTTTTCCTGTCTTTTTTTCACATATACACTAAAACCTTACCATAAAGACCATCTAAGGGACTGAATATGAATTGTCTTAACAACAATTCTCTGAATAGCAAGTGTCATAAAACAGACAGACTTTCCTTATGTGTTATATTACATTAAACACATAATGATTCTCCCCAAGTAGAAAGTCAAATACTAAATATAACAGTGATCCCACACCTGGCTGATAAACAGAGTTAAATATAAAAAATCCGACAACTTTGTGGCTAGCCAGTGGTCTGATTAGTGAGGTAGAATTCAATGCAAAACTGGTCTTTTGGACTTTTAAAACTGGTATGGAATACGGTGAAGGATCAACATGATGGATCTAACTTGTGATATATGAACGTCCCTTGCAGTTCATTTAGCAATGGACGTAGAGGTACATATGAAGGGCGGTAACCACTTGGGATAGTGGAATAATTATTTAATTAAATGTATTGCTCTCAATAGTATAATCATACTGACAGCGACTGTTCGCCCGATATTGGACGACAAGCATGGACATGAATTCAGAAACAACTCCTACGTTTAGGTCGAAATTATCTGCACTTTTCGGACGAATGAGAAGGAAATCATGTATACCATCAACATTACATCGAGTTAAATCAATACACGACGAAATGATAGTCAAATGACGCTAATCATGAACACAATCATCGCTTCTATGTCTTCGTGTATCACTCTTACCGTGTTTGTTGACAATTTTTTTCAAAAAGCTTCATTCCACAGTTTCGTACAAATCGCTTAAGCACATAAAAATAAATATGAAATAAGAAATGCTTCTTACACTGTGATAATGACGATAAAATACATTGTAATCTTATCGACAAGTTATTTGTTTACATTACAATTAGAATATAAGTCAAAATAGACAACTTTTGCCAAAGAGTTGAAAAAATATGTCGCTTATATCATTAAAATCAAGTTGTTTCCCTTTGATTGCAAACCTCACCAACCGAATGCATTTTAAAAAATAAATATGACAACGATTAAAGGGAAGTAAAACCAGTATTGATATTAGAATTAGAATCAGTCATATTTTCAGTTTTATGTAAATGATAAGTAATTCAGCAATCAGTTTCAAATGATTAAAAAAATCATATTCGATCCGATTTACCAAAAAACAAAAGTCTACAGGAATGTAGATAATGAAACAAATTACTGACACACTATTTATATGAATTGTAGTTCAGATAAAAGATTTCAAATATGTGAATCCCGACTACTGAGGTGGACCTCAGCCTTTGACCTTTAGGACTCGGTAATAAATATATCAATCAGTTTCTTTATCTCGGAAAATATTATTCCCTGGGCAAAAATTCCAAAACAACAAAAAACAAAAATGTAATATTTCCTCGGATATTTCTCTGTCAAAGCACACAGTGTATGCTATTAAAGTATTTGTGTCTGTGGAAATGGAAAATAAAGTGTCATAGATTTATATAAATTTATATGATTGCTATATAATGTTGAACAACAAATAGTATATACCCAGTCATATTTTGTTTTGGTTTAAAATATAGTCTATTCGTATAAAAACGTTAAAGTATGTTTTGCCAACTATAAGTGACTTCTCTCGAAACACATGTTAACAATCAAATTAAGTCACATGATCACACCGAGAAGAGATTCTGTAAACAACAAGGCACATGATCACACCGAGAAGAGATTCTGTAAACAACAAGTCACATGATCACATCGAGAAGAGATTCTGTAAACAACAAGTCACATGATCACATCGAGAAGGGAGTCTGTAAATAACAAGTCACATGATCACACCGAGAAGAGATTCTGTAAACAACAAGTCACATGATCACACCGAGAAGAGATTCTGTAAACAACAAGTCACGTGATCACACCGAGAAGGGAGTCTGTAAATAACAAGTCACATGATCACACCGAGAAGAGATTCTGTAAACAACAAGTCACATGATCACACCGAGAAGAGATTCTGTAAACAACAAGTCACATGATCACACCGAGGAGAGATTATGTAAACAGCATGTCACATGATCACATCGAGAAGAGATTCTGTAAACAACAAGTCACGTGATCACACCGAGAAGAGATTATGTAAACAACATGTCACATGATCACACCGAGAAGAGATTATGTAAATATATAGAATATTCCATCGCACCATTTTAATACTGTGTGTATTATCACTCGTAAATAACTTGTATAGGGAAAATAAACAAAGGTGTTAACAGTCTTCACAAGGGTGCCCCATTGACATTCGGCAGAATTGTTGAAATTTGTTCTGAAAAAATGACACTTTATTGAACTCGTCCGGTTTCTCAAACGACATTGAAGGATATTTAGTTGTCTTGGTAAATAGTTTACAAAATAACATCGTGGCTCGCTGTTATCTCCAGTTGAACGAGTTCGTTAAATATTTCGTCATACAGTCACTAAAAATGTACAAAAGACACACAATATCGCCATTCAATACAAATTTAGATACAGTAGAGCCAAACAGTATAGTATACAGTTGTCTCGTCCTTCTAGGACTCGTCAATAATACTAAGGTCTAAATCTCAAAACCTAGCGAATGGGAGAAATAAAAATTGATCGATTGAAATGTCAAAGTCTAGATAAAGAGCAACAATAGCTCCATAATGTTTATATATCTGATTAATTCATTCTGAACGAGACGACAGAGGAAAATCCACACTGGTCAAAAGAAATAAGAAATGACATTTTAGCGGGATACTTATGAAGTCATTCTAGTTTATGGACGAGCAGGTTCCAGTGTTGCTGACCTCTAGTGATTTAATAAGGTGTGACAGCTGGGGATAATATTCGTTGGGGGTGGGGGTGGGAGTGAAAAAAGATAGGGGAGAGTAAAAATGTTGGGAGTTTGTGTTTGATGTGGGTGGGGAGGGGGGACTAACGGGTCAACAAGGAGAAAGACTCTCATGTAGAAGGGGTACGAAGTTCATTGCCTCCTGGTTAATATTTGTTTCTCAGGCAGCTGAGGAAAGGAACGTTCTGTCTTGGCTTAATCCCCTGTCAAATCTACCTGATATGTGACGTGCCTCCCGTGTGTTGTTTAGTGTGGTAGCCACCAGCTGGTACAAGGAATTTCTGCCTGTTCAAAAGGGAGGTAAAGCCAGCAGACAAACAACATATGTCCTTAGTGATAATCAATTCTATATTATATAGTTATCACATCTTTATACATTCCGGATGATGTCCAATGGTAGTTTTGATATCATTTTTGGACTAAATCAGATTCAAAAATTGAGTTTGAAATTTTATGAAACACTGATCAAAATTCAATAATTATCTGGTGATGATAGAGTAGTATTAGTGGAAAATATACAAACAAACTGAAATATAGAAAAACAAAAACATGAAATCAGAACAATGAAAATATCTTATTGAAACTCCCATCATAAAGAAAGTCGTGTTTATCCGTTCTGAGTATTCGATACACCGTAACCTCATTAGTCCGTACAGCAGTGTTTAATTAGCACGCACAGCGAAACCAATGTTAATGAGTCCGCGATGTGAAAATTATCCCCAACACCGGTTCCTCGTATCGAGTTTCACTGCGATTTAGATTTCACGGAACAAACTTCCATTGGATCTCAGCATTAACCAGATGTCACTTTCACTGATCTTAATTCATTGATACACTCTGATATCATCTGAATGGTACTTCTGTATATCAAACTATCCATTTACCAGCCAAATAATAGAAAATTAATTGTGATCAGCAGCTGTGTCTAAATCATTAGTGCATTTAGCAGCCTTGGTGTAACTTTACCAGCAGTGTACTATTCCCAGGCTGTTTGCGAGTCTTTGGCGAGCCGTGGTTCCACATGATGCCAACCATAATGTCTAACAGCTGCGAGGATAGCAACTCTTAACAACATCTATTATTTCTCTTATAGACGAAAATCATCTTCACACAAAAACAGGAAATATTTTTAAAGATAAGATTTGAAAGACTTACGTTGTCATGGTAACCCTTAGTAACGTTAGCAAAGATAAAGAGAAAGTATATATATATACTGTACATCATATTACAAGGTTTTCTAAAAGAAAAATGTGAGCGCGAGATATATCTGTACGTACGTACGTCGATATATGTAGTACTGTGAGCAGTGGAGGGGCCCACAGCTCTCCTGTAAACAGGAGCTGTATTTTATGTATTCTCTGCCCCTCGTAAACGCTGGAGCTGAGTTGCCTCTGGGATAACCATTATCGTTACATAGATGTGAAGCTTTTCTGAGAAAACTTACAAAAAATTACTTACATACTACAGGTCATGCGCGTGTCCGCAATTTGGGACTTCTGGTGAAATTTGGTGAACGTCGCATCTTAAATACTTGGAATTACTTGGAGTCGCTGATCGGTTTTCGCCGGATAGTTTTCTGTGTGATATTTAACCGGTTTATTACGTGTGGAACAATCCCCGGGGGTGTAAAGGTATGGCTGGCCCGGGGGAGAAGTTTGTGCGCGTGAATTACCGACATTATCACTCCTGGCTCATCCCACGATCAGCTGTCTGCTCCATTCTATCATGCGCTCTCATCTCCATGTTGATTGGAATCATCCTACTACAGTTTGGAGGGTCAGTAACCAACACTTTGATAGAAGTTCACATTTTATTAGCAAAATAATTCTGTATATCAACAAAACAATATCTATGATATTCATGCATGCTTGTTGATTTCTTGTCGAAAAGACATGCGGTCAGCTTCTGGGTTGGTTGTCTAGAGATTTGATATTTCTATAAGTCAATAACATCGCCATGTTCTTGTTTTCTCTAATGATTAAATAAGCATGTCTCTGTAACGATATTCACCATGTTTAAGATCTGTGGATATTAAACTCCACCCTGTAAGGTGTCACATACCTGTATCACATAGAAGTACACACCTGGTCACTGACCACCAGGTATAGAGGTACTGACCATTATCATACAAACACAGATTACACAGCTATACCGTTACAATTAGAACGGGAAAGCTCCCGTAGCTTGTTGTTCAATATAGATCAAATTGGTAATTATTGTGTGTTAGAAAACTATTTATATACAAACAAATGCGAGATACAATTCTGTCACTCTCAACAATGTCCTGAAATTTCTGCTGTATTGACAGATACTTTCGACGGAAAGCAGATAGTTAGGCTCCCATTAAGCTAATGTCACATGAAAAATTCTGGAATTTCTCTCTAGCAGTAATCGTGTCGCACACACTTGGGATTTCATTCAGGCGATTGTGAGTACAATCCAGATTTTAATTCAATTGAGTAGTGTCACGGTTTAGAATATGATACACGAGTATTTGAGGTTCTAGTTTGATCATGGTTTTCGCTGTATTTATATTCTGATTAGAACTTCCATGAGTTGTCTCAACAGTTTCAACAGATTAGGTATTTAGCATCGCTGAGAGTCCTAGAAGGGTGAAACAGAAGTAGGATGCATTTTCATTCATTTTTTGGCTTTTCTTTACCTAACCCGTTCGTGTTAGTATTTGAAGACAGGAATAAGTTTAATGAGCTAAAACATGCTTTAAAGCTCAACTGAATCATGTTGTAAGACGAATAGGAGAGTACACAACAGTATAAAGCATATATCGAGCTTGTTCGGGATAGGATGGAAGGTGTAGATGTATTTGATGTACGGCTTTAAAGCAATTAGAGAACTCTTCAGGGCGCATTCGGATGTGATGTACTAGGAATTATTTTCAACTGTTCTGAACCTCTGGAAAGGCTGCTTATTTCAGCTTTGTACAGAATTTGAAGATCTTTCTGTAAATACTTGACCTGAATGTGTTTCGTTGTGACAAACTAAGATCGTGTATTGTATTTATTCTGGCCTTCGTCCTATATTGTATATATATATATTATTCACATTTGAACTCTGATGTTGACTAAGGATAAGGATATTTGTCTAAAACATGACGTGAGTTGCAGAATATTGCGGCCTAATATTTATTTAGAAAAGGTAGCGATTTAACAGAGTGATGATTACATACAATGTACCGGACAGGAATACTTTGTAAGCCTACGGCGGGAACGTTTGAAGTGCGAGAGGTCACACACCGCCTCAAACCTCCTGACTATAACCATATGATAAATACCATCAACATCAGCCATTATCATCTGGTTTAGGGCTTTTCATAAATCTCTCGTTATCATCTCTCCGTAAAACACGTAGTGTTTATGTTTACATAAACCATGTTTTACAGTTGTATGCATGTCTATACATACAGTGAAGGTTCACATCTGAACTTTGACCTGGCCGTAATCAGAGAGTGTGTTTACATTACAACCCAACCACGGCTTTCTGGTCGAGCACGTGTAACACAAGTTACTCACTCACTCTATTGCTTTACGCTATATTTTCAATATTTGGCGTGAAGTATAGGATTGTCGAGGATATGTATCAGATGAGTCTTTGTCTTTGCTCGTCGGACATACAAGGGTCAGGAGTGACATGTGTCGTCAATGAAACATACAAGGGTCAGGGGTGAAATATATAGTCAAATGTAACATACAAGGGTCAGGGATGAAATATGACATCAATGTAACATACAAGGGTCAGGGGTGAAATGTGTCGTCAATGAAACATACAAGGGTCAGGGGTGAAATGTGTCGACAATGTAACATACAAGGGTCAGGGGTGAAATGTATTTTCAATGTAACATACAAGGGTCAGGGGTGAAATGTGAGGTCATGTAACATACAAGGGTCAGGGGTGAAATATGTCGACAATGTAACATACAATGGTCAGGGGTGAAATATAAAGTCAAATGTAACATACAAGGGTCAGGGGTGAACTATGTCGTTAATTTAACATACAAGGGTCAGGGGTGAAATGTATTGTCAAATGAAACATACAAGGGTCAGAGGTGAAATACATTGTCAAATGAAACATACAAGGGTCAGGGGTGAAACATATAGTCAAATGTAACATACAAGGGTCAGGGGTGAAATGTGTCGACAATGTAACATACAAGGGTCAAGGGTGAAATATATTGTCAATGTAACATACAAGGATCAGGGGTGAAATATGACGTCAAATATAACATAAAAGGGTCAGCGGTGAAACATATAGTCAAATGTAACATACAAGGTTCAGGGGTGAAATATGTCGTTAATGTAACAAACAAGGGTCAGGGGTGAAATATATAGTCAAATGTAACATACAAGGGTCAGAGGTGAAATGTGTCGTTAATGTAACATACAAGGGTCAGGGGTGAAATATATAGTCAAATGTAACATACAAGGGTCAGAGGTGAAATGTGTCGTTAATGTAACATACAAGGGTCAGGGGTGAAATATATAGTCAAATGTAACATACAAGGGTCAGGGGTGAAATGTGTCGACAATGTAACATACAAGGGTCAAGGGTGAAATATATTGTCAATGTAACATACAAGGGTCAGAGGTGAAATGTGTCGTTAATGTAACATACAAGGGTCAGGAGTGAAATGTGTAATCAATGTAACATACAAGGGTCAGGGGTGAAAAATACAGTCAAATGTAACATATAAGGGTCAGGGATGAAATGTGTCATCAATATAACATAAAAGGGTCAGGAGTGAAATATGTAGTCAAATGCTACATACAAGGGTCAGGGGTGAAATATATAGTCAAATGTAACATACAAGGGTCAGTGGTGAAATCTGTCGTCAATGTAACATACAAGTGTCAGGGGTGAAATGTATTGTCAATGTAACATACAAGGGTCAGGGGTGAAAGATATAGTCAAATGTAACATACAAGGGTAAGGGGTGAAATGTATTGTCAATGTAACATACAAGGGTCAGGGGTGAAATGTGTTGCCAATGTCACAAATAAGGGTCAGGGGTGAAATATATAGTCAAATGTAACATACAAGAGTCAGGGGTGAATATATAGTCAAATGTAACATACAAGGGTTAGGGGTGAAATTTGTCGTCAAATGTTACATACAAGGATCAGGGGTGAAATGTATTGTCAATGTAACATACAAGGGTCAGGGGTGAAATATATAGTCAAATGTAACATACAAGGGTCAGGGGTGAAATATTTAGTAAATGTAACATACAAGGGTCAGGGATGAAATATATAGTCAAATGTAACATACAAGGATCAGGGGTGAAATGTATTGTCAAATATAACATACAAGGGTCAGGGGTGAAACATATAGTCAAATGTAACATACAAGGGTCAGGGGTGAAATATATAGTCAAATGTAACATACAAGGGTCAGGGGTGAAATATTTAGTAAATGTAACATACAAGGGTAAGGGGTGAAATATGTAGTCAAATGTAACATACAAGGGTCAGGGATGAAATGTATTGTCAAATATAACCTACAAAGGTCAGATTATGGGTTGATTATAACTGTTGTCTATTCCACAACAGAAATAACCTTTTGTAACTAATATAAATCCATTACTGAAAAGGTTCATTTATCTACATATGATTCCAAGCTTTAAACAAATCTTTTGGTGTGTAACGAGGAACCGATCATATCTCTTTAATATTCTGCGTGGAGCTTTTTATGTTTTGTCGCAGGCTGATTTTTCTCCGCAGTGAAAGGCTTTGAATGCATGCTAACAAAAATATGTATGTACATGATTTCATATGATCATTCTCTAAACTCAGCAGTGCAAGCAATTATATCATAACACCAAACATCTTTGAGGATTTTGATGAGAGCGTGGGTGTTGAGGAGGAGGGTCTTCTGTTTGTCCTCAAATTGTAACCACCGATTTGTTAGCCTACAAAGGTCAAATTCCCAGTGGGAGGTGTATTATAACTGTAAGTCAGTGGGAGGTAGTCCAGTAACAGAAAGGTAGTACCTTTTGGAACTACTCGGTAAAGTCCCATAGTACTGAAAGTGGGAGGTAGTACATCGGTAACGGCGGTAAGTCAGTGGGACATATGATTCCAGTGGGAGGTAGTACCTCTTCGGTAAGTCCAAGTGGGAGGTTTACCTGTGTAACGGCGGTAAGTCCCAGTGGGAGGTAGTACATCGGTAACGGCTTTAATAGTCTGCCTGGAGCTTTTTATGTTTTGTCGCAGTGGGAGGGCTGATTTTTTTTCCCGGAGTGAAAGGCTTTGAATGTAACGGCGGTAAGTCCCAGTGGGAAGTACCTCGGTAATATGTGGGATGTACATGATTTCAGTATGACCTCGGTAACGGCGGTAAGTCCCAGTGGGAGGGTGTTACCTCGGTAACGGCGGTATGTCCCAGTGGGAGGTAGTACATCGGTAACGGCGGTAAGTCCCAGTGGGAGGTAGTACCTCGGTAACGGCGGTAAGTCCCAGTGGGAGGGTTGCCTCGGTAACGGCGGTAAGTCCCATGGGAGGTGTACCTCGGTAACGACGGTAAGTCCCAGTGGGAGGAGTTGCCTCGGTATCGGCGGTAAGTCCCAGTGGCAAGGTGTTGCCTCGGTAACGGCGGTAAGTCGCAATGGGAGGGTGTTGCCTCGGTAACGGCGTTAAGTCCCAGTGGAAGGGTGTTGCCTCGGTAACGGCGGTAATCCCAAAGGGCGGGTGTTGCATCGGTAACGGCGGTAAGTCCCAGTGGGAGGGTGTTGCCTCGGTAACAGCGCTAAGTCCCAGTGGGAG